CACGACGACCTTTCGTCGATCGGGGGGTTAGGGGAGCATTTTCCCGCCCTACGCTATTTATATAAATCGAATATCGGACCCAGAGAGTATCGTTTTTTACACGTCATTCAACGAGAACACATTGCCGTCGTTAAATACGAAGGAAATTGGACCTGGTCTCCGTGTCGACGCAAATTACGACCCTCCTGCGACTTCATTATCGAAATCATGTGTGGCGGGTTATCGCACACCATACACGAGTGTGCGTATAATCTCACTTCTATTCCCTCGACGTTTTTGACAGTTCTGTCATAAATCAAATAGTGATAATAAGTAAAATAGGCGTCACACTGCACTAGAGCCACAGCCACGAATTGGATGATATCGTCTTTCCACCAACGCTGTGTCTGTGTGTCAAACGTTGTACATATAATATATACTAGTACGCTGACATTAACCACATTCTAAGCAAACACAAGACAACATTTTCGATTCCCGATCAATATGTATTTAGGTACCTGTATAAAATATCATGGTGTATTCGATAATTCGAATCTATTTTGATTATTAGTTTTCTTTATTATTAAAATATGTTAACACGAACTACCCGTAATAGTTTTTATTATTCGCATGTTGTATCGTGTTTACTGTTCGCGATAGACAGTTAAGTTCACAGTACAATTCTGTCTTGACGAAAGACCTCACATGGCATAATAATATTATTTATTAATAATAGTAACATGTCCGCACATCTCAAAATCACTCACAAATAAATTCTTACGGTACACGTTTCCAAAATGTGCCTGTAAATTAATGAATCATGAGCCTGCTCCAGAACACTGAAGACTATACATCATAATGCTTTATAACACAGCTTATCGGTTGAACACGCGAGATTTGTGGGTACCAAGAAAAAGTGTAAAAGTATGTGACACCACAAACGTGGTTATAGACGAAACGTACCATACGTAACCTCTGGTATAATAGCGATAGTGGGGAGAGTCACCCGTGGATTCGGTGTTTGTACATAATAATAAAAATAATAACAATAAAGATAATCATAACATTTCAGTGCGTGAGAGGAGTTTTTTCCTCAACATAACGCACCGGGAGTTTTCGGCCACGCACGCGCACTAGCAAAAAATTTGGCCGTAAAGTCGTTTTGATGGGACAAACGTGTAGCGGCATTTTATTGTCTTGTAAACGGGGTCACGCCCGTGGCGGCTGTGTGGAGGCAGTGGCGTTAACGTGGCTCCCTTTGTAGGCGTGTAATAAAAAAAGGGGGGAATTTTGGGCGGCGGCGATGGAAAAAAACATATCGTTTCGAATTCAATAAGATAAAAGGCGAAAAACGCGTTGATGATATACGCGTGTGCGTAAAATATTGAGTATCATATTATGAAAATTGTAAAACTACCGCCGCCGCTGCTGCCACCGCCACTGCCACCCCTCCAGCGCCTAACAAACACGCGAATAAAGATAATATTTTTTGGTTATAAAAAAAAATAAAGTTCACAGTGCCGTTTTCAGCGTGCCATAAATTCCCGATGTTTTTTTTTTAAAGCTCGCGGTGTATATTATGATGTACTCCCCCCGCCCGAAATCCGGCAATGGCTGTAGTACTGCCACCGTCGTCCACGTGTAGCCAATTTAATTTTCTGTCGTATAAACCATCGAGGCTGAAAAACTCTTTTTCCGATATAAACTTCTTTATTTCGTTTATTTATTTTTTACTGTGAAGGGATAAAACTCATTTGCGGAAAGGTTTAATGAACCGGAGAGAGTGTACACTCCATAATACTGTGTAGCATAATAATATATTTACGTTATACACATACCTTGGTAGTCGTATTTGACATAAGACCGACCTGCGTTGTGATAATACCTACTATTGACCGCTGATCCTCATTAATCTTTACAGATCGAAATACTTTCGACATCAATTGTGTAATCTATAATATTATTGGCAACACAATATTCGGTATAGTGCAGTACTGTAGCATGAATAGAAGCCTATAATTATAGTATCCTCAAACTCCTAAAACCGTATTCAATAAGACCATAATAGGATACAGGGTGGGTATATAATTAATAAACCATTAAAAAAAAATTCCTCGGGAGCTTAACCATCACTGAAAATTGTTCCTTTCTGGGTCACTACTATATGTGTAGTATACTAGTATACCTATGCGGTATAGTAATATGTATCGATATGATAATGTAATATATCAATGTGGTCACCATACGAGTCGACATTTCGCTATAACCTGTTAAGTACTTAAAAGTTTTTAACTCGATAATTCGATGTGCTCTCATGATTACGACCACGGGTTGCCTTAATGTCATTATACTCGAAATATATTTGACGAGAATCGATGATTAAGGGCACAATATAATATATATACTATACGAGAGTTACGATAAAAATGATTTTTCTTTTCTTTTCTTTTCTTTTCTTTTCCATTCGTCGCATCTGTTAAATGTTAAATATTCTCGAAATACGTAAAGGAAAAACATGATCCTTTCACGACGACACTTTTGCCGCGTTCGCAACATTATCACATAGAGGTACTTATAATAATATTATTACTGTAGTAGGTATGTGCAAATTAAGCGAATTTCTATGAATCAGCATTTTTGTTCTGTTGTTCTTTATTATCCTTCAGTATAATCATTGGATACAGTAGGTTTTTCCATGTTCAGTATGCAATTTAATACAACAGTGAGTTAATCAGTCACCAACTATATTATGTAACCTGAATTAGAACCTGTCAACAATTAGACATTATCTATTGGTCTTTTTTTTGTGAGGGTTTGCTACCTAAAAACGGAAGATTAGTAACACATTAATATAACAGTAGTAAATCGTATCATAATATTTCAATCCTTGTTTTGCATTGTTTAATCATTGTGCTTCTGATAACTTCATTTTATTAACCCCCTGAGATTCAGTATAATAATACCAAGAATAATGTATCTCATATTTCAGTATACATACCGTATTAGGACTTATGAGTTTAATATATATGTATTTGAATTTGGCACACATAATTTTAACGTTATACTAATAAATTGCATTTTGAACGATATAATGATAAATAAAAATATTCTCAAGTGAGTTCATTGAAAATTAAAAAGTCGAATTGGAGAGGGTTTGGAGATGGTCTGTGTTGGAAATATTTTTGGCGGTTGTCTACGGATAAATTATAAATTATTATAAGTATTGCCATTGAAAAAAAACCGACTTCAGTGTTAATGTGAAGTGTGTGCGTATACACGTGTACCGATCACAACGAATGCTCTATAAAAGCAGACCGCTTCACAATTTGATAAACGCATGTTTGGCCGACATGACAGCGCGATACTTGTACCTACCACTTATTAGTCATATTATTAGTTAGCTTAGGTATGACGTTTAACCACAGCAATGTAAACAAACATCGGTGGCGTGGTACAATAATAATATTATTACGATTTTACAAAAACTTCGATGTCATACGGGACGGTAATATTTCCATCATCGTAACGATATGGGTACAATAATTATTATGTTATTGTCGGACTCGTTTCCTCGTTGTATAATTTTCGTACAATTTTGTCGTGTGGTATATTATAGTAGCTATAGAGGTATAATACTCGATTATTTTACGAATATCCCCCCTCCCCCCTCAGCTGGTCTCTACCGACAGGTACAGCTTTTGGGAGGTAGGTATTCATAACGTAACAGTCCGAAAACGGAATATTTCTTGGCGTACAATACCCGCAATATTGTCTTTAACGAGTTCGATATAATATTATGCGCTCGTCATCAGACCTCTCCTCTACACTGCTCTTTGCGCATATTATTGTTATTATTGTATAAACGTATAATTTAAGCGTAAAAGCTAATCGATGTTCGCGTGATTCGATTAAAACAAAATATATACAATTAAAATGTATACACTCGCCGAGGTGGTATTTTAATAATATAGTCAAACGTTTCGACTCAACGGTATTAACGATGAAAGTAATACACGCAGCAACACCGTGCTTGTGTGACTTATCGGCGTGCAGAGCATCGTTTGAATGGAAAATGGATTTTTTTTTTTTAACACGAAAAAACGAAGACGTACCTACGAATCGATAATATCACGCGCTTGTTATTGGTATTATTATGAAATGAACGGGATATCAAAACGGAGTAGACGTCAGCCCAATCGCAATTTGCCAGTTCAACGAGCTGTGGTGAGCAAAATTTCATTTGCAATTTTTCGCACTCGCCCGCGCCTTGGCGTCGACGACACGTGCCCCCTCCCCTTCACGTCAGTCGATACGAATAATAATAATAATACACATTCAACCGCCTATAAGTCAAAATATATGATACACTATTATACTATGTACACACGTATATATAATACGACTATATCTGCATCTGTATTCGAGAAGCTACAGCTGTAAAATCGCCCTGGACCTTGCTGCAATATTATTGCCTGCATCCATATCACAGCATGACGATCCGACTTGCAGTCTATGCGCTTATGTTATTGTGATATAGGCAACTAATATCACAGCGTTGTACGGCAGTGATGTTCCGTGATGCACTCGTACAATGATAATAATATTTTGACAATTAATTATTGCGCCAAGCGATGTAATAACAATATAATGGACACGGCGTCCGAAGGGTAAATACACGTCAGAAACGGTACCCGGGTAATTGATATTCTATTCCGATGTGGACCTCGTAGAACATAATAATAATGGTCGACCGAGCGGTCCGTCGTGGTGATCGATCGTGTGTGCACGGCACGGCCGAGACTTTGTAGGTTTTGGTGGGGGGGGGGGGAGGGCGGCGGCAAGGGTCGGTAGGACCGTATTATGTCTCCTCCCTTTGCATGCAGCTGTAATACACGTAGCTATATATATATATACTTCATCGAAATATTGTTTACTGTACATAATATATATATATATATATATATTTATAAGACTGTATGTTGTGATAAACCTTGTTGATGATGTTTTTGTGATGTTCGCAGGAAGCCGAGAGTGCGATCGCCGCGATGAACGGTCAGTGGTTGGGCAGCAGGAGCATAAGGACAAATTGGGCGACCAGAAAACCTCCGACGTTAAAAACCGACTGTGAGTACACCGCGAATAGCGCTTTACATTTTGTTTTTTGATTTGACGTCATTATTATTGTGGTCGTTTTGATTTCGAACCTCTGGAATCATTTTTAAAATTAAATTTTTTTATCGTGCCTACACGATATTATCATTTTGTTGTTTTTGTTGTTGTTGTGGCCGTTGTTGTTGTTGTTGTTGTTGTTTCTTTCGATCTAAAGTCTCCGGCGTCAAGTTTGTTGCTAGTCGGTGGTACATTTCTACACCGACACATACAGCACAGTTGCTGGTGGGGTGGTGATCAAAGTAAGTAGGGGACGTTCGCGGAGGGTCTTAAGGCCCTGCAGGTATCCCACGGGAGTTTGCCGAGCCGAAGGCTTTTGTGTGTGTGCAAGGACCCCACCAGGTTTTGCACTTCATTATTCATATCGTAAGCAATCAAACAGGCCAAACAGGCGGTGGCGGTCGGCAACAAGGATGTATTTTGCGTAATTTGTTCTGTAGCAACGTTACCAGGAATAAACGGATATTAAAATACGCCCGTTGGATATTGCAGCAGGTGTATGTACAATATTATGAACAATAATATCATATTATAATAATGCTGCAGTGTGTACAGCAAAAGGAAAAATAGGGCCTTTTTATATTTTATTATTATCAAATACCATTAGGTACAACTTACACCGACTCCCCCCGGCAAGAAATCTCTGAAAGTCGTGGAATGGGAAAAATATTATGAACATCACGCCACCAGGCTGTGCGGGCCTCGGCTCCGCCGCTCTCGCGTCATAACATCGTCCCTTTGCCGCGGGGAAAACTGATTGATTCTAGTTGACGTCCGCGCGTTGAGTAGAAACTCTACCGTCATTTATCCATGTCAAATTGTATTCCGTCTCCGCTCGCGCGTCTCACCTATATCCTGGGGAGGGGGAGACGAAGGAAAAGAAATATGTGTCAGATATCCCAAGGCGATTCACGCTGGCTGCCACGCCGCCGGCTGTGTACACATAATATATAATAATAATATGTGAATACACTTCAGGCTACATTACTGCAACGTGTTTGTGTTGAATTTTGCAAACGAACGGCACATGAGCGCTGTCAGATCCCATTGAAATTAAATCAAACCCGTGTAAAATATTCCGTTCCGTTTTCAGACGGCTCGACTTCCATGTGAACGTTTCTTCTCGAAACTCCACGATTTCGGTTCAAACGTGCGATTTTTTTTTTTATATTTTAGCTTAAGACGATCGTACGATATTTTATCAGACCCAACAGCTTGCAAACCCGAGGGCTTATATTGTTCGAACGCGCTCGGCACGAGTTTAGTACTCGATAAAATATTTTGTAATATTATTTAATAGTTTAATAGGATTATATTAAATGAGTTTTTTTTTTTTTTGAAAAATCCTAACGTTGTCACAGTTCAAATAATTGACACAGTGAGATGAATATGCATTTTAAAAATATGTTTTGTATCGCGTACCATCATTTAGATTTAAAATATTATTAACTTTGTAATTTAAATATTTGATTGCTTGTACAACTCGCTGCATACCAAAACGTTCACATAGATATTGTCCGACTGAGAAATAATATTATAAGGTCATATAAAAGTACTTACCTATCAGTTAATATTGCTTTGTATTTTTCTCTCAAATTAGAGTGGAAATAATAATGTAGGTAAGTTGGTTAATTTTTTTTTCTTATTAAACAATGCATCCACGACAGCAAAGACCATTTAAGATATCAGAAAAAACTGTACACTGATTACTGATATGCTTAAAATTAGAATAAGTTATCTAGTTTTAACTATTGTTTTATATATTCTATGGTAGACATAATTGTACATGCACAGTAGGTTTGTTTAAAAATCTCTTTAACTTACTTATGATATATAGGTATTATTCGGAATAATATCAAAAGCTATATAATCTATATATTATACGTATTCGGTTAATGGTTAGTTATATAGACGTTTATGTTTATCGTGCCGTAAAATGTTTACGGCCAACTATTCCAAAGACGGTATTAAGATCGGAGGAAGATCATATTAAAATGTTATTCTGAAACAAAATCAATTTTCAACGAAGCGATGCAATATGTACAAAACTCACAATACACATTTGTTCCGTCTGTTTGGATTTTTTTTTATACACGACGACATAAACGTTCCATAGTCCTCCTCCACCTCCTCATCATCAGTCTTCGTGTGCTCACAAGTGTTGTAACGACTGAAGGAGGACGTGCTTCAAAAAATTACGACTACTAGCAAGTATTACGTTTCGTCGCGTGCAATTTATACGATAAATTATTATAATATATTATGAGTATTATCATCATATTTTTGACAACTTCGGCCCTCCGGTGGTCGATGACTCTATACAATAACACAAAGTGGAATAACTCGAATTGCTAGTTGACGAAAAAAACTCACTTGATTTTTCTAACTAAATGCCTTTATCGTCTTCAACTCATTGTAAGTAATATCAAAAAGTCAATCATAAAATATGCAGGATTTGTTTGAAAAAAATTCTAATTTTAGGTGGTATAAAACCAATTTTTACTTATTTTAACAATGCATAATAAGACCATTTTAATTACAATAGATAGGTGATATTTTTAAAAGCAACGTGTTCAACTATAGTTGTATATAATACCGATCATCATACTGTTATGCAGTAAGCAGTCATTACATCAAAAAGTATTAAAGTTTTTTTTAACATCGTTTGAAAGCATTACAAAACTTCGTTACGAAAAGAAACAGAGTTGTTATTATTTATTTTATCTTTGTAATTGTTTAAGTTTTTACTTTTTTTGAACGACATTGTACATTTTTATTTTATACACACGAAAGCAGAATAATTTTCCGAGAATTCTGAAATAGTGTAGTAAAAACAACGAGTACCTAGTTCATTATCTAGTAATAATTTTTAAAAAGTATTTAAAGTTGTGACTGGAGCGGTCAAAAGATACAACGAAAAATATTGATACTATCTATACCTACTAAGATCGTCTTAACTTTTAACATAATATTGTATAGTTAATTAATTACTCCTTTTTTTGTACGACAAAATTCAAAAAAATCTAAATCCAATCAAACAAATATGTAAATGTTTTTAGCATTAAATAATAAAAGCCCATATTAGATTATTTTCACTAACCTAACCTAACCGATATTATCATATATAGATCATTAAACTACCAACAGCGTGGTACTTATTGTATATTATGGTTACTGTGAGTTGTGATTCATTGAAAAATCATTAATTTACAACAGTTTTTAAATACTCTTACTGATGCACCGTACATTATAACACTGCATTCGGTGACTTAGTGATTATTATAGTGGAGGGATGTATTACAATTTCGAAAACTTATCAATTTAAGACTCCACTTGCCTCTGGATAACCAGGGAAGCAACTTGAGAGAAAATATTAAATAATAGTTAAGAAAACATTTCACTAGCCAGCAACTACTCTGGTTATCAGGGGACGACATTGGTCAAATATATAATGTAGGAAACAGCTATAATGCTCCGCTGCCGCCGCTCATGGTGAAAATCTACAGGAAACGGTCGAAATCCGGTTAATTCTTAACCGTCGGTTATCGTAATATTATAACAATAACAACGGCGTCGACGGGTCGTGTATATTAATTAGTCGAGACTCGAGGAGCATTTGAATAATTGATTCAAATGGCAATGGCGGACGGTCATAACGCGCGTATAATAATAATAATAATAATTATTATTATTATTATTACTATTATTACTATTATTATTATTATTATTATGGCAAACAACGGACACACGACCGCGGGCGCGAGTATAATGCAGCTGGTACAACTGAAAGCGGACTTAACTCGGTCGGTGTACATCACACACACACAAACAGGCACGTATTTTGGATGACAACCTGCATAAATTCATCTAGATGCAATTTTCTAGAGTTATATCTCAAATTTAATTCGTGTTCCTTAAATATTATGTTTGTGGATTAAACTAAAAATATATTTATTAATTATTAATGAACTATGTCAAATATAACAGATAATTGTAATTATGATCCTTACGAAGAGTGTATCTATTTATCTAGTATTAGTATATATCATTCTATCTTCTTTTACCTACTTAAAACCTTATAAAACAATAAATCAATTTTTAACTTTTAATTTTCTTCTTCTTCTTCGTCAAAAAAATTATTGTATTATACATTGCAGTGTATACAGCATTATATTTTCCATTTTTCTAATAAAATTCTTCATAAATACGAGGAAAGTCCTCCGAGTAATATGCATTTTTTTTTATATACGACATTAAAATACTACCATCTCTTTTAACGAAAATCATACACACATATATGCAAGGATGATAAAGATTTCAGAAGGATTTGCATATTATATTACATTATATTGTATATATTAGCCGCACGCTAAAACGGGTCAAATAAAATATATATTATATTAAAACGCGTCGGTTGCAGATGGAATTAAATTTGTACACCTTGTTTGCTCTTTTCAACGTGCACATCGGCATTAATTGTCTTTCACAATATTATATACTATACTAGACACATAATATATACTCGATTAAAATGTGAGATTTCATCACTATAAAATATGTTTAAAGGAAAGAAAGCTGGGAACTATGGCGATTTTAATTTTAAAAATTGTCCCTCGATTATGAACCAATTGAGTTCGTATTCATCATAAAAAAAATCATTTTACTAGAAAAGATTTTTAAAAATTACCCGTTCCTTTTTTTTACGGGTATATGATTTTTATAAACACACATTTTATTTTTATTTTATTACTTGAATGTACTTGACACTTTTTTCTTAACACCACACGGTCGCATTCGCTGCAGCTGCAGCCGTCACAGCGACATGCTCTTTTTATATTTTTCACGCGCTTAAAAGTATAAACCATTTTAATATTATTATAGTAGGTATATTTTCATGAGATAATATAAATGTTTGCACCCCGATCAGAATAAATTGTAATTCATGCTACAAAAAC